TCCTCTAAGTCCACCTTCTCTTCTCACCCTCTCGCCACCTGACTTCTCAGACTACGACAGAGAGAGACAGAGTTGTGACTTGAGACTTGACGACATTGGATCCAGACTTGACATTTGGGATTCAGACATTCCGACGAGGGACTATTTGGGCTTGTGCCGAAGACTTGGTGTTGACGACATTCCCATCTTCCCCCTCCTCTTCGTCTATCCCCTTCCTCTTCGTCTGTGTATGGTATGCGCTGGCGCAGTCTTCCTGTGTGAAGCGCCAGGCCCATTTCACACCATGTAACGATAATGATGATGTATGTTCAGGGCTGCATTTCAACATTGATTGTTCGGATCACTGGTATCCAAGTCTTCCGTTGTGCTATCTTATACTTTGTATTGAAAGGTCGGTTCTTGTTCTGGTCTGCACGTTACAGTATGCAACACTCTCTCTCTCTCTCTCATGCGCACACAAGTCCACAACGGTAACGAGGGCTCTCTCTCCCTCTCCCTGTGTCTGTGTGTGCTTGTGTCTGGCGGTGGCGGGTGGGCGAGAAAGCACTCTGAAGTGCCTAGATCCGCCCTTTCTTCCCTTTGTCACTGGGGAACTGCGCTCTGCCTCCAACAGTCTGCCCAGAATGCAAATAGAAAAGGGGTCTGCCCGACCGCCCTGTACGGCTGATACCAGCCCCAAAAATCATAGAAGCATTTTTCAAGGGGCGCCCTGGACCCTAGGAACAGGTCTAGTGTGGCCCTTTTTTTTTTGAATTTCGGGGTTTTGGCCCCTTCCGGACGGGCCTCCTACAGTCCGGCGTCCAGACACCGGACAGCAGACCGTCTGGACGCCTGTCCGGATGTCCGGATGGTAGCCATGGTTCAAACACTGATTGGGCTAGTTATTATCATTCTAACATTCTGCTTCGCTATCTGATACTACGTGAACGAGGTCAGTCCCGGTCAGGTCAGGCTTTGTTTCTAAGTCTTCCGCTGTGCTATTCAGCACCAATTTGTATGTATCGGAATGCACATTGCTTGTTGAGATCTACTTGCATTGCATTATCCATTCAATCCTTTTTATCACATTGCGGATCCTCAATCAGGACAACCTGATATGACATGTGTGTGGGGACTAGGTAGCTGATTAGTCTTTATTGATCGATTAGAGCACACTAGTTAGCCCCCAAAATCACGATTTTGACCGTTTTGCCGAAAATCGAAATTTTTCTTCTTTTCTTGGATTTTGGTTTTCTCGCTATTTTGTTGTAGCGCAACATCTGAAATTTCCATTTTTTGTTTTCCTTCTGAAATTGTGAAATTTCGTTGTTAAAAATCCGGAATATTTTTCTTTTCGAAAATTTTGATTTCCTATTGCATTTCCCGTTACTTGGAAAATTCGGAATATCTTCTTTTTCGAAAATCTTTTTTTCTGAAAACGGTACGGGAAATCCCTCCTGCAGGTATTATTTTCCAAACTGCGAATATTCTCATCTGAGAAAATCCGAATACTTGTCATTTCCTTTCGGAATTTTTTTTTCGGAGTTCTAGGATTCTGTTAGTCCGTTCTATAAATCATTTGCAGTCTGAAGTCGAAATCTTTCTGTAATTTATATTTCGTATTTCAAGGGAGGTTGGGAGACCTACTGAACTTGCAAAAAAATCGGGATTTTTTTATTTTATTTTATTTTCTCGATTTTTTTTTTGCAAATTTCAAACTTTTCTTTTGATTAGTGGCTCCTTATCTGGGCGATTTATCCCACCCACCCCTCCCCACCTATGTTGTTGCCACCTCTGATCTTATCTCCTTCTTCTTTCATCCGGGTACCACTACTGCGGCATTGGTAAGTTGCCACGTCAGACACGTCATCAGCCAAACAGTGCCACGTCAGCAGGGGGTGCCATGTCAGCAGCTCTCCGGGCTGGTTCATGCTCACGCGCTCGCAAATAGGCCCCATGGACCAGAAGCCAGGAGAAACGGACGCAGACTACCAGATCCGGATGCTGACCATGATTACCAAGGCTAAGCAACGATCGGATGCAGTCGCTGCTACAGCCAGGAAGAAAGCAGAGGACGCCGAGCAGGCACGTCTGTTGGCAGTAGAACAACAGCGCCTGCAGGCCGAGGCAGCAACTAAGGCTGCCGACGAAGAGAGGATACAGCGGCGAGAGAAGATTTTCAAGGGGGAGCGAGCCTTGCTCGCAATGGCCGCGGATTGGCGGACTGAGGCTGAGACAGGGAAGATGGCGGAGAGCGAAAGCAAGATTGCTCTCCTCCTATCCCATCTCACACACCTCCTGGCCACGTGCGTCGCACAGCAGGAGGACATCCATAGCCTCGACGCCATGGCGCAGAATCACAAACGGGCATTGGATGACCTCAACAGCCGCTTCCAACAGCTGCAATAAACAGTCGCTGCCCCCGCCGCCAGCACCTCCAACATGTCTGATTGTCTCAATGCCTTGGAGATCGACATGGGGACAGTCAAGGATGGCATGCAGCACCAGCACACCGCCACCCAGCAATTGGAGCAACGGATATGCTCTGCTGCCGCCCATCCAAGTTCCTCAGAACGCGAGTCAACTCCAAAGTGGGACGGCCAGACAATCTTCCTCGACTCGTCCAAGACGGACCCAGTTCAGTGGTTCCGCAAGTTCGAACTGACGCTGCAGCTTCATTATGTCAGCAAACATAAGAACCATGCGTACTTGTACTCCTGGTCAGGGGGAGCATGCCAGGCAAGTACGGCGTGGTCGCTGCAGACCTGCATACAAAGATCAGTTGGGAAGACCTCAAGGCAGCATGGCACAAGCGGTTCCAGGTGGAGTCGCTAGAAATCAAGGCCATGGACAAGCTGCTCACCTTCGAGCAGGGCACGCTGCCGAGTTTCGACTGGATAGCTGAGTACCAGCACTTGACATCCGTCCCGGATCTGCAGATGGGCTACAAAGCCATCAAGCATTACTTCATCTCGATATCATGCCCGACGTTAAGCAATGCATTGACTCACGTTGTCGAGACATTGACAACGACGGTAGAGCTTTTCGACAAGGCCGCGCATATCATTGTCACGAACAAGGAGGCCAAGAACCTTGGTCGTTCGTCTGCGGCAGGCCCGAGCAAGGACCAGCATCGGCCCAAGGTGGCCGTGGTCGCGGCGGCAATGCCACCCGACCAATCTTACAGCGAGGCCGTGTCTGCCAGTGAAGGAGACAGACTCGCAGCCGCTCGGGATGGTGGCCGCGCCGGCAAAGGCCGAGAACGCGGCAAAGGGAAAACAAACACCACTATTATCCCCGGGCCCGGCGCAACAGCTCACGCCCCATGGTCCCAATACGGTCTCTCGGAGCTGGCATACAAGCAACGCACGAAGTACCGTTATTGCCTCTGGTGCAACAACGACCTCCACGAGACAGTCGCCTGTCCATGCAAAGGCAAGGGCAGACAGGGAAACTGAGCACCGCCAAGAGTGATTGGACGACACTCTTGACGTCTTTGGAACTGGTTTCTTCGCGAGTAACCGGCCTTCATTCCAAAGCACAGGCGGAAGCCGATAGTCCTCCTCTCTTGTATTCCTTCGAGGACTATGCTGCCCGGCTCGTTCCTACGCTAGGTACCTTTGCTCAAGGACAAGACGTATGTGCGGTTTCTTCTCCGTCCGGCAATAGTTCATCATCGTCTTCAGGTGGTTCTTCACGGGATTCGGCACGCGAGTTCAACATAGAGGTATTGGACCCGCTCACGTCTGAGGATTTCGCATGGCTTCCTCTCCCGACCATAGGCTGCTTGCCGGGACCGCAGTGCGCAACACTCTGCGCTCATGTTCACAAATACTTGTCCTTCTATGCACCACCAACTTCGACGGGGGATGACGAAGTCGCGGTGGGGGATATCTTGGCGTATGTTACCAAGGTGGCCGGCGAGTTTCGCACACAGCGGTACGATGACAACAATGCACCGCTGATGTATGTCCGCATCCAAGTTGGACAAGCGTCCTGCAGCGCTTTGTTGGATAGCGACGCGTCTCGTAACTTCATGAGCCAATCCTTTATGCAAAGGGCTGGCCTTGGCGCACAAGTTCGGAGGAAGGCAAACCCGACGGCGATCAAGTTGGCGGATGGTAAGACGCAGCAACTTCTCGACCGTTACATCGAAGCGGTACCGGTGTACTTCGCACCTCATGCATGCGAGCCGATGACATTTGATATTTTGGACACGGACTTCGACATTATTCTGGGAATGCCTTGGCTTGCAAGTGCGGATCACACGGTCAACTTCCATCGGCGGACTCTCACTGTTCGCGACGCTTTCGGCGCCGAAGTACCGTGTACTATTCCTCTTCCGCACCCTTCGATCCGGTGCCAAGTGCCAAATCATTCCGGGCGACTTGCGTTTACGAGCAGCCCGAGGAAATCGAACTATGCTTCCTACGGACCGTCGTGGTAGCCAACTCTTCACCCACGGACTTGTCTTCGTGTGGTACTGCTGCTGGACGAGTTCACCGACATCTTCGAGACACCTACCGGTGTGGTGCATGATCGGCCGATCTCTCATGAGATCATTCTTGAGGCCGGTGTCGTGCCACCGAAAGGTTGCATCTATTGCATGAGCGAGGAGGAGCTTGAGGTCCTCCGCGCACAACTCGACGATTTGTTGGCCAAGGGTTGGATCCGCCCTAGCAGCTCCCCATATGGAGCACCTGTTCTCTTCGTCCAAAAAAAGAACAAGGATCTACGTCTGTGTATCGACTACCACAAGCTCAGCGCACAAGTCGTCAAGAATGCGGGGCCTCTTCCTCTCATCGACGATCTTGTGGAGCGGCTATGCGGTGCCAAGTACTTTTCCAAGTTGGACTTGAAGTCGGGGTATCATCAGTTGTCGATACGCCCGAATGACTGTTACAAATCCGCATTCAAGACGCGTTATGGGCATTTTGAGTGGGTGGTCAGGCCTTTTGGCCTCACCAACGCCCCGGCGACCTTCCACGCGGCGATGACCAACGAGTTTCGTGCGATGTTGGACCGATTCGTGCTGGTTTACCTAGATGACATTCTCGTCTACAGTCGCACCTTGGAGGATCATCTTGGGCATCTCCGACGTGTGTTGGAGACACTCCGCTGTGCCAAGTACAAAGCTAACCGGGACAAGTGTGAATTCGTCCGACAAGAGCTTGAGTACTTCGGCCATTTTGTCACACCTGAGGGCATCAGTCCGCTTTCGGACAAGATTCAGGCCATCCAGGAGTGGCCGGAGCCGCGGAACGTCACGCATATCCGTTCGTTTCTCGGTCTTGCCAGCTACTACCAATGCTTCATCAAGGGCTACTCAAAGATCACGGCTAACTTGACCAAGCTTCAATGCGAGGATCGGTCATTTGACTTCGATGAGGATGCGCGGGAATCATTTCTACCCCTCAAGGCCGCATTGCTCACTGCGGAGGTCTTGCGTATCTACGACCCGCTGGTGCCTACACACGTCACTACCGATGCGTCCGGTTATGGCATTGGTGCAGTCCTTGAGCAGCACGATGGAGTGGACTGGCACCCGGTCGAGTACTTTAGTAAGAAAGTGCCCGCCGTGCATTCCATTGATGCACGCAAGAAGGAACTCCTCGCCTTCGTTCACGCTCTCAAGTGGTGGCGGCACTTCCTCCTCGGTCGAAGTCAATTCCGATGGGTGACGAATAACAATCCGTTGGTCTTCTACAAGACCCAGGACACAGTCAACAGCACCATCGCTCGTTGGATGGCTTTCCTCGACCAGTTTGACTTCTTTCCGGATCACATCCCTGGGAAGTCAAACCGTTTTGCGGATGCTCTTTCACGGCGTCCGGATCATTGCACCGCGGGCTACTCGACTTTTGAGATTGACGAGGACCTGCGGGACAGTTTCGTCCGCAGCTACCAAGCCGATCCCGAGTTTCGCGACAAGTACGCCAATTGCTCCTCTCCTAATCCGGGGCCTTCTCACTATCGGATCCAGGAGGGGTACTTGCTTGTCCACTCGCGCGGGAAGGACCTTCTTTGTGTGCCGAGTGACTCTCACTTGCGTACACGGCTTCTTGGCGAGTTCCAAGATGCACCCGCCACCGGACATTTTGGAGTCAATCGCACGATTGGCCGACTTCGCGAGCGATTTTGGTGGCCCGGCCTTCTCGGCGACGTCACACGCTATTGCGAGTCATGCGAGCGTCCCGCAATCACCGTCCGTACGGCGAGTTGCGACCATTACCGGTCCCCTTGCGCCGAAGGGAAGCGATTGCCATGGACATCCCAGGGCCGTTCCCCAAGCACAAGACCGGTGTGGATGGGATTCTCGCGGTGGTCGATCGACTCACCAACTTTGCCATGTTTTTGCCTTGTCGCTATCATGCCAAGGCACTGACCGAGGTTTTGTACGCCGGTTGGATTCGAACCAAGGGTTACCCCAAGGAGATCGTCTGCGACCGTGACACTCGGTTCATGTCCGATTTTTGGCTGGCGCTCATCAAACGATGGGGCTCATCTCTCAAGCCCAGTTCAGCTCGTCACCCCCAGACCGATGGACAGACGGAGAGGGCGCACCAGACCGCACAGGTTCTCCGTCGCACGCTCATCCGTCTTGACCAGAAGGATTGGGTTGAGCGGCTGCCGGATGTCGAGTTGGCCTACAGCTCCTCCATCCACCCGGCTATTGGGATGTCGCCCTTCGAGTTCGAGCACGGCTCGCCGGTCACTTCTCCGTTGGATACCATCATTCCATGAGCGGCCGAGAGCGACGACCATCTTCTTTTCTTCCGACGAATGCAAGAGCTTCTTGTCAAGGCACGCGACTAGATGGCCAAGACGCAGCAGCGCATGAGCCAGCAGGCCAATCGCCAGCGTCTTCCTTGCCCATTCCGCGCCAACGACCTTGTTTGGGTTTCAGCCTTGAACAAGACATATCTCGCAAGCTCCTTCCGAAATGGATGGGGCCCTGGCCGATCACAGCACCCGCTGGAGATGCACCTGAAGGACCTTCCTTCATCATTCAGCTCCCCGCCTATTTGCCCGTCAACCCGGTCTTCCATTCCTCCAAGCTGGCTCTCTACACGCCAACAGAACATGACGATTTTCCCAGGCGACAATCACAAGACCCACCCTCTATGGATGGTTTCCAGAGGTCAACGACATTCTCTCTCAGCGCCGTTACGGCAACCGTCCGACCGAATATCTGGTCCATTTTGCATACTGCAGCCACAGAGCTGACCGTTGGTTGACCCATGCAGATCTCCAAGCAACAACTCCGGACATTCTGGCACGCTATGAACGTAAGATGCAAGGCAAGCCGGTCTCTTCGGCTCCACGCCACGCCTGCGTCCTGGTTCAACCTTCAGATCGTCAGCTTTGCCCTCGGCCCGGCTTGACTTCATAAGGAGGGGGGGGTGTTACATGCTGCGCTTGCAATAGGCTGCACGGGCCATTTTCAGGCCCGTGTCATTTTCAGCCTGAAAGCCTGAAAACGAAGGCTTACAGGCCCTGTGTCAGTTTGAGCCTAAAAGCTCGAAAACCAAGGCCTACAGGCCCCGTGTCTGTTTTCAGCCTGACAGCCTGAAACTAGGGCATACAGGCCCCGTGTCTGTTTTAGCCTGACAGCCTGAAAACCAGGGCCTGCAGGCCCCGTGTCTGTTTCAGCCTGACAGCCTGAAAACCAAGGCCTACAGGCCCCGTGTCGTTTCAGCCTGACAGCCTGAAAACAAGGGCCTATAGGCCCAAAGGCTTTAGCCAGAAGCTACCAGGGAACTTCCCAGAAGTTTCCTCAGGCTTTAGCCAGAAGCTACCTGGAAACTTCCGGAAGTTTCCTCAGGGTCTAGCACGTTTGGGCATTGGCAAGGGCAGCCTCCTGGACGGGCCAGCACTATATAAGATTGGCCCGGCCTACAGGCAGGTAGGTAGTTCATAGGGACTGGCCAGGCACTTCACGTGCAGTCCAGGCAGGCAGGAGGCAGTAGTCTTCAGGATTCGGCAGCAGCACTCTGAAGGGAGCGCTGCAGGAGTAGTAGTAGCGTTAGCCTTAGTCTCCAGCGCTGGGCTCAGTAGGTAGCTGTAGTCTCCAGCGCTGGGCGCCATAGCTAGGATAGCACTAGAGAGAGAGAGAGATTTGGGCGTAGGCTAGAGGTACTTACCCGCAGCGCCGTTGCTCCAGCTTCGTCTTCGAGATACCTGCAGCAAAGCGCCAACATCACAGGTTAGTCCTGGCTCGTAACAGAGAGAGAGAGTTCTTCTTCTTCCTCTTCTCAGTCCACCATCTCCCTCTCACCCTCTCATCATCTGACTTCACTGCATCTGCAGACTACGAGAGAAGAGAGAAAGAGCTTGGTGACATTGGATCCAGACTCGACTTTTGGACTTCAGACATTGCAACGAGGGACTATTTGGGACTTGTGACAAAGACTTGGTGTTAACAACATTCCCATCTCTCCCTCTCCTCTTCGTCTGATCCCCTCCTCTTCGTCTGTGTATGTCTGGACCTAGCGCCTCCTTCCTGTGTACAGCGCCAGGCTCCTTCACACTTTGTGATGGATACGATGTATGTTTTGTCTGTGTTCAAACACTGATTGGGCTAGTTATTATCATTCTAGCATTTCGCTTCGCTATCTGATACTACGTGAATGAGGTCAGTCCCGGTCAGGTCAGGCTTTGTATCTAAGTCTTCCGCTGTGCTATTCAGCACCAATTGTATGTATCGGAATGCACATTGCTTGTTGAGATCTACTTGCACTGCATTATCCATTCAGTCCTTTTTATCACATTGTGGATCCTCGGTTATTATGTACATCGCCCATCTGGGCATGTAACATACTAATAAACTAGGGGAGGTTGCAGGGAACAGGGTAGTCCTACAAATGAACTAAGGGGACTGCATGGTTTGCTATAGGTTAAGGGGGAACAGAGTTCAGGGAACAGGGAACTTCTATTGATGTTCTACTAGGTAGGGAAACGGTGTTCAGGAAAACAGGGTATTTCTATTGATGTTGTAGTGGGTAAGGGAAACAATGGTCAGGGGAACAGGGGATGCCTATTGATGTTCTAGTGGGTACGGGGAAGAATGGTTAGGGAAACAGGGATCTGCTAATGATGTTCTACAGGGTTGTCAAAGTCAGGAAAAATAAAAATGAAACTGTTTGTTAAGGATGCAAGGGCTGGTGTGTCCGAAGGAGTCGGAAGCAGAATCTCATCTAGGAACAAAGTGTCCAAGTGTCGTGAAAGGGGGTCTGCAGCGGTCTTGATCAGGTCTTTGGAGTAGGTGGTACAAGCGGTCTTCAGCGGCTGCGATAGGTAGAAGTCCAAGAAGCGTAGTAGTAGTTCAAGTGTCAAAGTCCAAGTGCTAGGGTGCGTCCGGTACACGATCTGCAATGAGGTCTGATCTGGAAGCAAGGAAGTCGCAGACTGATGCAAAGATCCATGTCACAAGTTGCTGCTCCAGTAAGTCCGCGAGTCGGGATGCCAGCCGATGAAACAGCATGGTGGCCAAACCGGCTGCATAATCTCCATGAACAGTGAGGCAGCAAGCCGTCGTCCTCGTGCGCTTGCCATTAGATCCTTTATCGTCGACATCACACAAGTTTACAAGCATTGGACAAGAGAGACAAGAGTGGAGAGGACAGATGGGACAAAGCTAGGCGAGGGCAAGGGCAGACCAGACAGCAGGAATGAGGGTCAAGGGGGGGGGTGGACTGGGTTCAAGGGTGTGTGTAGAGCGGGGTTGCGAGGTTGTAGCAGGGTTTATGCCATAGTTATATAGGTATCTAGGACATAGGATTAGCACAATCATAGGCGTGGACAAGTTTCATGGCGTTCTTAAGATTAGAGAGAGGTTCCCATGTAGATTCTTCGTCGGGGTATCCGGTCCATTTGACTTTGTATTCAGTGATTGGTTCCGGTTGATCAGATACCTGAGTGGTTCGTCGGCCGATGATGGTTTCGACAACGAATTCAGGGCCTGTGGGTAGCATGATTGGTGGAGGTCTAGGATATGGGCGGTCGGCGAACTGGGGCGGGGATTCATGGTATTCTTTTAGGTACTCGACATGGAAGACTTGGTGGACACGACTCATGTTTGGGGGAAGTTGGAATTTGTAGTTGACGGGGGAGGTTTGTTCAATGATGGGGAAGGGACCGAGCCATTTGTTGGAGAGTTTCTTGGACAAGCCGTGTTCGGGTTCAAAGCGTTTGGCGGAGAGCCAGATTTTGTCCCCTACTTTGAATGACACGTCGCGTTTATGTTAGTCTTGTTGGCTTGCTGTTCTTGGGTTCGTTCAATGACTTCGGAGGCTTCTCTCAGGAGTCTGTTCATTGTTGCTACCCATACGTTGAGAGAGGGGCAGGGGGTGGATGGGTGAAGCTGCGAACGGAGCAAGAAGTCGGAGGCCAAGCGAGGGTGGTGGCCAAGGTCGAGGTAGAATGGGGACATGTCGGTGGAAGGGCAGGCGGCGTTGTTGTAGGCAATCTCGGCGGCTGTGAGCAATTGATCCCAATTGTGTTGGTGTGGATGACAATACTTCCGCAGGATTCTTTGGAGTGTATCATTCATCTTCTCAGTTTGTTCATCGGTCTATGGGTGGAATGAAGTGCTATACTTGAACGTGGTTTCGTAGGCCGTGAAGAGGTGTTTCCAGAATTGTGAAAGGAAGCGAGGATCACGGTCACTGATGATGTTCTCGGGGAGGCTGTGATGGGGACGAAGTGGGCACACTTGGTCAAGCGGCAGACAATGACGTAGATGCAATCATGCCCGCGTGCAATCATGCCCGCGGTCGGTCTTGGGGAGGCCGCACACGAAGTCCATGGAGATGGACTGCCACCGGTGAGTTGGGATGGGCAATGATTGGAGCTTGCCGGGTTTGGCCCAGTTCGAGGGGTTGACAACTTGACACGTGGGGCATGAGCGAATGTATGCTTTGAAGTCGACGAGCAGGGACGGCCAGTAGAAGTAGCGGGAGATGGTGTCGAAGGTTTTCTGGAAACCGAGGTGTCCTGCGGTCTTGGCGTCGTGGTGCTCGGCCAAGAGTTGAGTACGGAGACCACGTGCGTCGGGGATGCAAAGTCGGCGAGTGCCTTCGGTATCGATGTAGAGAAGGTTGTCGTGAGAGAGTGGTCGGGGACTGGGTCAAGATCGCGGAGCTTGTTGTAGATGGTGGCGAAGTCCGGGCAAGAGAGGTAGCCTTGGGTGCATCGGTAATGGAGTGATGGGAGGAGTTGGATATGAGTCATGGCGGCGTAGACTCTCTCGGGGGGCTTGTGGTCGGGTCGTCGAGAGAGGGCATCCGCAACGCGGTTGCTTTTGCCGGGGGTATGGCAAATGGTAAATGTGAACTGGGCAAGGAGGTCTAGCCAGCGGGCTTGGCGTGGAGTGATATCTTTCTTGGAGAGGATGGAGGAGACGATGGAGTTGTCAGTGCGGATGGTGAAGTATTGCCCGTCGAGGTACGGGGGCCAGACTGTGAGGGCGTGAATCACGGCGAGGAGTTCCTTCTCGTTGGAGGGGTAATTCATCTCCGCGGGAAGGAGCTTCTTGCTTGCGAAGGCCATGGGGTATTCGCCAGGTGGAGCCTCGAGGTAAGTGGGGGAGTCCTTGATGGAGGGGGTCTCGGCGGTGTCGCGGGGCAAAAGTAGGGACAGTACGGCTCCAATGGCGAAGTCGTAGGCGTCAATGGTGACATAGAAATGGCGAGTGGGGTCAGCAATCTTGAGGACAGGGGCCGTGGTGATGGTTTGCTTGAGTAAGTCGAAAGCGTGTTGGCGGCGATCGTTCCAATGGAAGGGCTCATCCTTGCGGGTGAGTTCGTGGAGAGGGTAAGAGATCTCGGAAAAGTTGCGAATGAACGGGTCGTAATAGTTGGCAAGGCCGAGGAAGGAACGAAGTTGGAGGAGGGGTGGGTGGGGGGTACTCGACGAGGGTTGTGATGTTACGAGCGAGGGGCTGAGGGTGAGCCGAGGGTGAGGAGAGAGAGAGGGAGGGAGTGAAAGCACACACACACACTCACTCACTCGACACGACGGACTCGAACTGAGGGTCGGACACAGACACAATGGCAAGGCACAAAGTCGAAGTCCTGGATTCGAATCCGAAACAGCAAGTCACACAGAGTACGAGTACAGCAACAGAGAACTGGTACGAGTCTGGTCCTCGTACCGTACGGGGAGCCGGTATAAGTACCGGTGACACGTACGGTAGCAGGGGCATTTCTGCAAAGGCCCCGAGGGAAAGACTGAAAAATGCAGCATTTGAAAGTCGTGCCCGAATTGCAGCATGGCGCCAGTTGTCCAAAATCCTACTGTACCAAAGGAGGGGGTCGGAAAAAGGGTGCCAGGCCGAAAACGGGATGCAGCCGAAACAACAAAAAGATAGACCAGGGATCGAGCCCTGGAGAAGTCCGTAACACTATCCCCTCCCTCTAGAAGGCAACGTCCCGACTGCAAAAAATCATGAAGCAATGCTGAAATCTGTGAAGGACGGGACGGGGCCGATCACTGGTTAACAAGTCGAAAGGGAAGAGGGGTATAATGTGGGTGGCATGGGCTGCGGGAGTAAGAGGGAACAAGGTTTGGTACCGGTGAACAGAGTTGTCCTACTGATGCACTAGGGGGACTGCATGGTTCGCTATAGGTCAAGGGGGAACAGAGTTCCGGGAACAGGGAACTTTTATTGATGTTCTACTGGGTAAGGGAAGGTGTTCAGGAAAACAGGGTATTTCTATTGATGTTGTAGTGGGTAAGGGAAAAAATGGTCAGGGGAACAGGGGATGTCTATTGATGTTCTAGTGGGTAAGGGAAACAATGGTCAGGGGAACAGGGGATGTCTATTGATGTTCTAGTGGGTACGGGGAACAATGGTTAGGGAAACAGGGATCTGCTAATGATGTTCTACAGGGTTGTCAAAGTCAGGAAAAATAAAAATTAAAATGTTTGTTCAGGATGCGAAGGCTGGTGTGTCCGAAGGAGTCGGAAGCAGAATCTCATGTAGGAACAAAGTGTCCGAGTGTCTTGAAAGGGGGTCTGCAGCGGTGTTGATCAGGTCTTTGGAGTAGGTGGTAGAAGCGGTCTTCAGCAGCTGCGATAGGTACAAGTCCAAGAAGCGTAGTAGTAGTTCAAGTGTCAAAGTCCAAGTGCTAGGGTGTGTCCAGTACACGAACTGCAATGAGGTCTGATCTGGAAGCAAGGAAGTCGCAGATTGATGCAAAGATCCATGTCACAAGTTGCTGCTCCAATAAGTCCGGAAGTCGGGATGCCGGCCAATGAAACAGCATGGTGGCCAAACCAGCTGCATAATCTCCATGAACAGTGAGGCAGCAGGCCATCGTCCTCGTGCGGTGGCCATTAGATCCTTTATCGCCGGCGTCACGCAAGTTCACAAGCATTGGACAAGAGAGACAAGGTAGTGGAGAGGACAGATGGGACAARTCTAGGCGAGGGCAAGGGCAGATCAGACATCAGGAATGAGGATCAAGGGAAGAGTGGTCTGGGTTCAAGGGTGTGTGTAGAGCAAGGTTGCAAGGTTGTAGCAGGGTTTATACAGGGTTTTAGGGTTGGATTGCGAGACACAGGGGGACAATGTTCAGCTGGAGGGAGGCCCGGCTGTCGCGGTGGAGGAAGAAGTGGGAGTAGAAGGGCCGGGTCCCGTGGAGCGAGGGGCCTGTCGAGTAAAGTGGCTAGCGTTGGGGCAGTTGGTTTGTTGATGACCTAACTGGCGGCAGCGAAAACACCCGTTGTGTTCCTGGAGGTATATGCGTTCTGCGGGTGTAAGTTTCTGGAGGCTGCGGGGTGGAGAGGAAGAAGGCGATCGAGAGGCACGATCATGGCGTTCCATCCGAATAAGGTGGGCGGTCTGGAGGTCCTCGATGGTGAATTGGGAGGGGTCGAGAGAGGCAGTGTCGAAGTCGTCATCGAAGGTGGCTTGAGTGGTGTCATTATGGGAAAAGAGGGGGCGGGAGGGAGCCGGCACGGACTGGTGATGGGGGTGGAGTCGTCGATCGTGGTGAAGCATGCGAGAGAGGAGGTCAGCCAGGGGCATGTCGGGTTTGTGGGCGAGGGCGGTTGCAAGATCTTTGTGGCATACTCGCTTGATGCGGGAGATGAACGCAAAGTCGGGAATGACGGTGGTGGGGAGGTGATGGCGGAGGGAGCGGATGTATTGGACGAAGCGGTCCGTGGGACCGGTCTAGCGGAGGTGGCAGAATTGTTCGAGGTAGTCGTCAATGGTTTTCTGGGGGCGGAAGGTGGCAGCGAGAAGTTTGGCCCATTGGAGGAAGGAGTGACGTGGTCCTCCAGAGGCTCGGCGGTTGCTGACATCAGCCATCCACCATTTGGCGGCATTGCCGAGGAGGCGGGAGGTGGCAATGTGGAGTCAGTGGGCAAGGGGCATGTGGTGGAGGTGAAAAGAGTTCTGGAGCTGGGTTAGGAAGAGGAAAACGTCCTCGTGGGGGAGGCCGGAGAAGGACATGATTTCGTCGGATCGGAAGGAACGGGGGATTTCCCCGTCGCGGTGAACGATCTGCGAGAGGGTGTTGAAGCTGAGGTTATCGGGGTTGGTGTCGTAGCAGGTGTGGTCGATTTGGTTGTTGTCCTCAAGGAGGTAGTTGGGGGGGAGTTCTGGCATTGCGGGGTAAACCCCCAAGGTGGCTTGATGGGTTGGGAGAGGGTTTGGGAGTGCGGGGGGGGGAGAGGGGTGACGTGGATGGGCGAGGAATGAGGCGGTGTGCTGGATGTGCCGGATGAGGGAGGAGGTGGAGGGAACGGGACGATGGTGGAGGTTGAAGGGTTGGTGGATGTGGTGGTAGAGGTGGTAGGAGTGGAGGAGGTCGGCGGGGGGGTGTTGCTGGAGGCGGCTGTGGAGGAGGGAGTGGTTTGTGCTGTGGAGGTTGGAGTGGTTTACGCTGTGGAGGAGGGAGTGGTTTGCGCGGTGGTGGCGACCGTGATGGAGGGGATGGTCCCTTCGATCGTGGTGACGCGGTCGCATATGGATGACATGTTGGCCTTTATGTCGCCGAGAGAGGCGGTGACGAAGGTTCGGAGGGTGTTGAGTGCGTGGAGGATGGCGGAGAGGTCGGGGGTGGCGGTGTTTGCTGGTGGTTGTTCGCCTGCGAGGTTGCGGGCGATGCTATCGACTGAGTCGGTGCAGATGTCAGACATTTTGATGGAGGATGCGGCCATGTCAGGGGAAGAGGGGATGGAGGACGTGGCCTGAATGGGTGTGGAGGATGCCGCAGCAGCGGTGGCGGCGGCAGCAGCGGTGGCGGCGGCGGCGGCACGTTGGGAGTTCTTGGTTTGGCGTGGTGGCATGTGGAGGGTGGGGGGGGAATCCCTTATTTATTTATCAATAAATTCAAAAATAAAGAGAATCGCCAAGTTTTTTTTTTTTTTTTCAAAAAAATAAATAAACGTTGAACAGAAAGAGATAATTAATTTTTGAAAAAAAAATAAAAATAAGAAATAAATTTTGATTTAGATTTAAAATAAATTAATTTTCAAAGAAAATATTTTCGAATTACGGGGAAAAAAAAAATCCTGAAAAGAATTAGGAAGAGG